TATATATATATATATATATATATATATATATATATATATATATATATATGTAAATATGATGTAAACTTTTTCGTAATGTTTTTTCAATCTTGAAGTTTTTATTTGTATGAAAATATTTTTGCTTTAGAGAATTTATTTTATGAAAGTCTTAGCTTCAAAGTGAAATGAATAACAAGGTATACGATTATTGAGAAAAATAAAGTAAATGAAAAATACGTTTTAGTTTGTAACATTTCCACTTAAGATCGTCTTTAATTAAAAGTAATCATTGATCATTGTTATTGTCTTATGAAAATACAAAATTTATTTCCAAGAATTTTGTTTTCGATATTTATTAGCATTTTTATTGATTATTTGAAAAACTACCATTTATTAAAAAAAAATCGATTAGTGAAATAGAAATCAACGTTGAGATTATTAATCAAATGTTTTTATGTGTTGCTTGTATGTTTTGTCATTATTAACCTCACTTGAATTATTTGACACTAAGTTGATAATGACTCATCCTTAAATTGCATGAATCAAGTACTTTTAACGTGCGAATATAATGATATCAATATTTGATTACTTGCGTTGTAGGAAAGGATATATCTATAAATTCCTTTTTTTAATCTCAATAATAGTTTAGGTTCTTAAAGATATTTACTTATTTGGAATAATAGTTATATCTCATTGGTTTTAGGTATGCTAATAATAGTAGCCAAAATAATCACAGCTGTGAAATATAATTGTTACATACTCATTATTGACAGTTAAGTCTTCAAATGTGAAATTAATCAAAAAGTATAATAATTCAAGTTTTGACAATGGAGAAAAACGCAGAAAATGATGAAAAATGTACATTGGATACTTTACTGAAGGATAAATCAAATGTAACTTGTAAGTTGGGAGTTATTTATAAGATAAAATTTGTTTATAATTTTATAGTTATTATTTTTACTTTATATTTGTATCTGAATAACCTTTCAGTTTCTATACTTCCTGATATTTAACTTGAAAATTATATTAAAGTTTTGAAACATTACTTACTAGTTACTAAAGATGCTTAGAAAATTCAATGCATTTAGGCTTTCATTTGAAAAATATGTTGATTGCGAGGTTACTGCTCATTTTAAATAATATACTAAAGAAAATAAAAATTGAAAAAAAAAAAAAACAACACTCGGCCTCAACCGCGATGGAAAGTGGATTTCATAGAATAGATTTAAGGTAAAAATTTTTAAAAAATAAGAGTGTTATAGGTCAAATCAAATGGCATGCCATCAGCTTTAGAGCGGTTATTTTTGAAAATAAAATATCTCAATCAAAAGTTATTAATAAATATAGTCACGGAAATGACGATTTTTTACATTTAAAAAATTTTAAGTGCTCACTATTTCTAGAACAGTTGTCCGATTTTATTCATCTTGGAACTCGTTCAAGATAATCATCTGATGAGTAAATATGGCTAGTTTTATTAAGATTCGTTTATAATTATAGGTGCTATGGCGAACACAGCACTAGCGTTATGTTACATTTATATACATATATAAATTTTTCGGGTGGGGAGCATCTCTTCAGAGAATTTCTTTACATTTTATAATCCCTCAGCAGAAATCTTTATTTTAAAAAACTCTACAATAAAAACAAATCAATTTAAAAAATCCTTCATTTAAAAATCTCTCAGAAAACAATTGATTAAAATGAAACTTCTCTCTATCGTAAAACTCTCAGGCGATGCATCTCTCAGAAACAAAAGCTCGATAATTTGCTAAATTCATGTGTATTCTTTTTTTTATTGAAATAATCAAAAATATAAAGTTTTTTGGGACCTCAAAATGTGATCGTCCGATGAAAACTAGATTTTAAAAAATATTTTATAGATGTTATAATTATTAATAACTAGAACTTTATATATTAGATTATTTTAATAAAAAAAGAATACACATGAATTTAGAAAATTATCGAGCTTTTGTTTCTGATAGATGCATCACCTGAGAGTTAAATGATATAGAGACGTTTCATTGTAATCAATTATTTCCTGAGAGATTTTCAGATGAAGGATTTTTTTAATTGATTTGTTTTAATTGTAGAGTTTTATACGGAGAGTTTTTTAAAATAAAGATTTCTGCTGAGGGATTATAAAATGTAGAGAAATTCTTTGAAGAGATGCTCCCCACCCAATTTTTCTACTACTGCTTTTTTTGATCCTTACTCAACTACTTAAAAGATAATATGACAAAATTTCGACATGACTAATGCAATAAATAGATTTCTATAAAATCTACCTAATAACAAGACCAACTCTACATCCGAAATGGAAGTAGATTTCATACTTATTCAAATAATTTATTCTGACGTAAATATCCATCAGGGTATACAGAATACAATTACAAGATTTAGCGATTATAATATACACATCATTAGTACAATACATAACATATAAACTTTTGAAACATATCCATTTTTTGTATCCTCTTGACTAGCAGAGTCGAAATATAGCAAAATTTTTCAAAAGTTTTGCCATGAGGATCAATGCAATAATTAGATTTCTATAAAATCTTCCAAAAATTAACTTAATTTAAAAGAAAAATTTTTAAATCAAGAAAGTCACTTTGAAAAGCTTCATTGTCGTGATTCAAGTAGAAAGATTTATGAGCTGAAAATTTAAATAATTCGAGAATTTTTCTGTTTTTTAGTGTATAAATATTGAGGTGTTTCGAAAAATTTTTTCATAGTAATAAAATCAACAAATATTTTTTTTAAACAAATGAATGCACGTTTTCAAATTTCAATTCCCTATTGGACATTGAAAAATTGAACTCTACTTTTTATTCTCTACGATAAGATTAAAAAATAATTTTCAAATCTTTAATTCGGTGATTTTAAAAATAAAAAATTAGGAAAACGGTTGACCCTGAAGGCCATCCCTGCAACTTCCCGCTACTTTCGTAATTAAGCGCTCAAAATTGCACTTATGGCGTTTTTGAGCTCTTCGAGCTCAAAAATATAATTGTCGTGTAATTTTGAGCTCTCCGAGCTCAAAAGTCTGATAGGAGTTCAATATAACACTATTTTTTGAATTATTAAACCACAATAACTTTTGAATAAATTGAAACGGAATGTTTCCCTTGGTCGCACCTTTTTCTCTTTAAGGGTGCCACTGGATTTTTGGACTCCGTATCCAGAAACTGGACCAGAACATGGAGTGAAAGGTCAGGGTCGTGAGAGATTGCTGAAAGGAACCAAAATTTAAACACAGAAATTCGTTTAACAAAATTATTTATTTATCCAATCCCTTTTACAATTAAACTAATGGCCAAAATAACAATATATAAAATTTCATGGATAAAAATCCACACTCACGCCCCACTCTCATACAGTATATTTCGCGCTGTCCAGCTAGACCCTCACGTGGCTGTAGTACCCGATGCCTACTGGACTCTCACGTTACTCTATCTACTTCTATCTACTTCTATGTAATAAATCCCGAGGCAGAAGAGATACTGCTACCAGGCGCGTCTCCCCGAGCGGATGGGAGAACGCTCGCTGTTCTTGGATGACACTTGGATAATCTCTTAGTTGATGGGGTACAGCGGGTAGGAGCCAAGCAAAATAACCAAACAAAATACGCTCCCGTGGACAAAACTCCCCTTTAATGGGTTGGTCACACTAACTGACCTAACAAGACGAGGGTAGCGTTGTTCGCGTCCGTAGGTACTGCTTTAACACCCTACACGTGCTCTCCGGGTAGTGCTAAATGAACAACACCAAACAACGATATGGAAATGTCAGAAGATATTCAAATATCGTTTACAGTACAGAGGATGGATACCTCAGTGCCGGCGAGGGAAAGCGTGAAAACGGGCCTGAACTCGTCGTTATCAAGCGACCGTTACGACAGCAGGGTGGACCCCATGGCTCTGCTGTCTGGAAATGCTACAGGGAGTACGAGAGCAGTTAACAAGAGTATTGATGGGCCTCATGCCCAAGAAGCGGCGATAACAGCAAGCGCTGAAATGAAGAGAACAAAAGCACTGGAACGCCTTGAAAAGCTGACCATTGACTTGCAGGATTTCGTCCTATCCAAGGTCAATATTCACAAGGAAATCAAGACAAAGACGACCAGCGTAGTCAACGCCCTGCAAAAATTTAGAACACTGGACGAGGATTGGCAGTCAACACGACGACTAACGCCTCGCATTACGCCAGAGAAAAGCAGTCAAGCTGTTATTGAGACTGAGCAATCAATGGACACCGGTGCCGATGGTGACGGCGAATCTGTTGCTGACGACAAGAGTGAAGGTGTTCCCAAGACTAATAAGAGGAAGGACCGAAACTCGCCAGATCCAACAGAAAGGCGAGTGGCAAAGAAGAATGACCAGAAGCCAAGTTCTCCGAAAGACGCGACGAAGCAGAACGTCGAGAATAAAGACGCAGCTGCCTGGCAAAACGTCCAATCAAGGAAGGAGAAGAGGAGACTAGCCAAAGAGCAGCTCCCAAAGCAGACTGCAAAGAAGCCCAGGCCGGAACGGAAAAAACCCCGCAAATGGATCAGACCCGACGCACTGATCATTCGCCCGGCCGAGAAGGAGAAATACGCCGAGATTCTGCGTCGAATCAAACAGTCCGTCCCTGATGAACAGGTCCGTACGACCGTGGAGAAAATCCACAAGACCAATACCGGGGACATGCTGATCACACTTTCGAGAAAGAGTGCTGATAGAGGCGAAGCCCTACAAAAGACCATCGCGGACATCCTTAAAGAAGAAGCCAAAGTGATATGCAAAGGGCCACAGGAGACTATAGAGATCCGGGACGTCAATGACGACACGACGAAGGCAGACATTCAAACTGCACTGAAAAAAGAAGCCGGAGAAACCTGTGAAATACCTCTAGAGTCGATCAAGATCCGTAAAGCCTACAGAGGTACTCAGACTGCTACAGTGACGCTACCAGCGACAACTGCACAGAAGTTACTAGAAGGAAACAGCAAAGTGAGAATTGGTTGGGCCCACTGTCGAATTAGAGCAACGAAGAGACCTGTCCAATGCTGGCACTTTGGGCACTTCGGATCCCAATGTAAAAGCCAAGTAGACCGATCTAAACTCTGCATCAGATCTGGACAAGAAGGGCACCATATCGCTGACTGTAAAAATTCTGCCAAGTGTGCAATATGTGATGAGCAGCAAGGAGCAAAGGACGTGACTCACCATGCCGGCACCTACAGATGCCCAGTGTTTCAGGAGGCGCTCCAGAAGTTGACGAACAAACAAGCATGAAGATATTGCAGCTCAATCTCAACCATTGCGCATGACCTGCTCATGCAATTCGTGCGAGAATTAGAGCTGGACTTGGTACTGATAGCAGAGCCATATAAACACCTGACGACCCAACCCTGGGAATCTGACAACACATCCAAAGCTGTCATCTGGTCATGTGGCAAACTCCCTTTCCAAAATGCAGTCGACAACAGCAATGCCGGCTTCGTAGCAGTATCAGTAGAGGGCATTCGCTTCTATAGCTGTTACGCACCACCTAGCCTCTCCATTGTCGACTTCACTGATTTCCTGGATCGACTAACCGAAGATGCGAAGCAATACCATCCAGTAGCGATAGCCGGAGACTTCAAATCCTGGGCAGTTGACTGGGGCAGCAAACATACAAACGCAACAGGGAAAGCACTACTGGAGGCCTTTACAACACTAGATGTAGTTCTGCTCAATAGTGGTGATACGCCGACCTACACCAAAGGTGACGCAAGCTCAATTGTAGACCTCACTTTTATCAGTAATAGCCTTGCTAGAGGCGACTGCAACTGGAAAGTGTTGGACATCTACACTGCAAGCCGCCATCATGCGATATTCTGGGAAATATCAAGCAACCAGAACCCCAAGA